GCATCTCCTGCCACAGGCTTTTATTTCAACGATACTCCAAACTCCTCTCTATCTTCTTCCCATGCATCTCACTCAAAGTTACAAAGCCACCTTAGACATTAAAAATCTGAGATTGGTGAACATAGAAGAATAAAGCCACATCCTCCAGTTTTTTATCGTTCTTCAGTGAACACATACCAGGTATGTTTTAGATTATGTTTTTTATTTTTCTGGGGTGTTAAATCCTATTTTTTGAAAGTAAACTCTGTATCGTTCTTTAGTTTTTTATCATTCTGTATTGTGTTTACAGAAAGTAAACTCTGTGACAATGTTGGAGATAAATCCTATTTCAATAGTTTCAAGTACGTTGGAAATAAAGTTTTGAAAAGGTTTACAGATTGGTAATGAGAACGTTGGAGATAAGTTTTAGGTTAGTAATTTTTTCTTTGTTTTTTGCTTTTCATCTTATAGTAAGTTTGAGAGATAAGTTTCATTTTTCTTTGTTTTTGGTTTTTCTTTTGAAATGCATTGTTTTTCCATTTTAGGGTGGTTTTTCTTCTTCCTTGGATTCTGAAATGCGACTTCAGTAACTCTTCTCCATTTCAGGTTGGTTTTCAAGCGCGCTTTCCACCAAGAAACACTTTGTTCAAGTCGGTTCTCGCCTTTGAAAGCTTAATGTAAAATACATTAGTGATATCTATTATGTTATAAATAGCATAAAATTACAAGCTATAAATGATTTAATTAGAAGTATTTACAATTGCATTATTATTCTTAATTTTTAATAATTAACATTATTTTAAAAAGTACAGTATTAATTAATTAATATTATTAATTACAGTATTTAATTAGAAGTATTTATAAATGCATTATTTCACTTTTTTTACCAAATCCCGTGCATCGCACGGGTCTGTGCTAGTATATATATATGGCATGGTGGTCCACGTCAGAGGGCCTCTCCTTGCTCCAAAACCCCCATGCTGCTCTCACTTTAATTCTCTCTCCCTCCCCCATCCCACCACTCACATTATACTCAATAACCCTCTTTCCTCTATGTTTATCCCTTTGGATATTCCCTCCCACAAATATTCCTAAAATCTCTTTCTACCAACATTTAATCTTATCTAGCCAAGTGGCACCATTATCCTCCACTTTCTCTTAAATTACCTGATTATCTCTAATTCCTATTTATATCCTAAATTATCTCTAATTTAGAAGAGATTTTCTCTCTTAAATTATCTCTAGTTCCTATTCATCATCTTTCACACTTTTCATCTATATCTATCTAAAGAAAGTTTGAATTAAAAAATTAAGAATTATTTAAATATTATAATAAAAATTATGTAGGAAGAATATAAATTATAATTTTACGGATGATTCAATTTAAATATTATTCATATAATAAAAAATAAAACTAAACAATATTATTTAAATATTTTAATAACAAAATATTAAAAATAACTAAATAATCATATAACAAAATATTTAATATTATGTAGTAACTTTAAAATAAATATAATTTAAATATATACATATTATTTAAATATTTAAATAACTGAAATTTTTAAATATCAAAATATTTAACATAACTAAATTTTAAATAGTTAAAATAACAAAATTATGTAATAAATTTTAAAAATTTGATTAAAAGTAGAAAAATAATTATAATAAATTTCATAATGGCCAACTAAATTGACCTGGTCGGGTTAGGGAGTTGATCACCCAAAAACGACCAACCATTAGTGAAAATCAACCAACTTGGGTTATATCGGTTTGGTTTAGTCGGTCAGTTCAAAAGATTTAAACTTAAAAAAAATAAATTTAAATTTTAAAAATTATAGTGATATCATTAAAAATAAATAAATAAATTTAAATTTACAATATAAAATATTTTGACTAAGAAATATGGGAATTTCCCACTTTCCCATATTAAAATATATATATATGGTCAAACTGAAATTGACCTAACTTAGTTGAGCTGGGAAATTTCTGAACTGAAGCCAACTAGAAATATTAGAAAACTGACTAACTTGGGTCAAGTTGGGTCGGATTGATTAGTTTGGTCGGTTTCATCGGTTTGATGAAAAACCCTAGATGAAATTAATTATTGTTATTCTTGTATTGTAAAAAATTATTAAAAATAGTATATAAAAATATATAATTATTAAATATTTAAAAAGTTAAAATATAAAACAATTGTATGCTCTTTATGTATTTCTACTATTTCGCTTTCACTTAGCAAAACCTGTGAATCATACCGGTCCCCGCTAATAATAATATATTTATAGGTGAACTTGAACTTCAAAGTCTCGTTCAACTCAATTTTTTTTTTCTGATAGAATAGGAAAAAGAACAAAAGGGATTACAAAGCACAAGGGGTAGCACATCCCCATAAATCCAAACAATTTAAAATTGATAAGCTCTAGGCAACAAATTTAAGCAAATTGAAGAACTATGGGCCTAATTTGCTAACCAATCTGTGGCTTTGTTGGCTTCTCTGACAACATGATGATAATCTAGATCTCCATCGGATCTTGACCTCATCCTTCTGCATTCTTCAATGATCGACTTCAATCTCCACAGGCGCTTGATTCTTCTGTTGAGGCAATTGGTGACAAGCTTGGAATCTCCATCTATGAAAACACGCTTATTGTTGAAATTTCTAGCTAAATTATGGGCTTCCCATGCAGTCCAAACTTCAGCTAGACTAATGGTGGTTATGCTAATGCTATAGGCTTTTAAATCGAGAATCTTTCCCAAATGGTCATTTTCAATACACCCAATAGTACAACACTTATCATTCACACACGATGCATCAAATTTTATTTTAATGGCATTTAAGCAATGGATCTATTAAAGAATATCAACCTATTCAAGGACCTCACCTAATAGGTTAAGCTTTTAAGTTGAATGGTTCTTTGAGATGGTATCAGAGCCACTTTTGACCAAGTGGTCTAGTGTTCGATCCTCATTACACAAGGTATAGATGGACTTGTGCTTGTTCACACTTCAAGTCCAATGGGCTTTTATGTGAGGGGGCGTATTACATAATATCAACCTATTCAAGGACCTCACCTAATAACTTAAGTTTTTAGGTTGAATGGCGCTTTGAGAGGATCAACCATCTTATTGGTAACCATGTTCTCTCTTCTTATTCTTTCAAATAAGCAAGGTTTTACTTCTCTAAATGAATTCAGGGCTGGCGGTAAGTTTTTATTATTAAAAGTCTTCTCATTTTGGTATCATGATCGGACAAAAACCTCCAGGCCTCCTAAATTGAGATGTTAAAGCAATTAGTTAAATTGAATGTGTTCTAAGTACTAACCACACTTGTTTAGTATGACTTCCTAAATTGAGATGTTAAAGTAATTAGTTAAATTGAATGTGTTCTAAGTTACTAACCACACTTGTTTAGTATGACTGCATTTGACAAAAATATGATTAACATCCTCTTCCTAAATAACAAACTCCCAACAAAAAGTCTTTTTATTGTGTAGGGGAAATTGATGGTTTGTGCAGCTTATGTGGGGAAGAGGAGGAGAGGGGACGAGATATAAAATATTATTGATTTTGTTGAGGAAAGATTGGATGTTTGGGCTTTTTTTTTTCTTGGTTTTTAACATGACACTTATCCCAATTGGTTCTTTATGTCTTTTTAACTAAGGCTGCATTTGTTTGTGATACAAAGCAACTGGAGTATTTATGTACCCCGATTCGCCTTTGTAAGCATTTGTTTGAAACGTAAAAATGTAATGATTATCAGAGTAAAATTGCATTTTTTGATATTTTTATATTTTAAAAAGAGAGTATTAGTGTACCTATTTTTTGGATATAAATTTGTATTCATTTGATAATTAACTTTTTAATCAAAGTTGAGGCATTGGAGCATAAGCTAGTTGGAGAAATTAATGATGAGCTCACACTTTTATACCGAATTTGCGTTTATGAACCAAAAAATGGGTAAATATGTAATGTACATATTTACAATTGCATTGCAACCAAACGCAGCCTAAAGAACATTGACTACAATTACACTTTTACCCCGTCACACCATGACAACGTCTGGAGTACATTACATAAATAAATCTTGAAAAATAGCCACGAATATTATTATTATTATTTAATTATGGAAGAAAAAGCCAAAATTATCCCGATTTTCTTGAAGATCAAGGCTGAAGATTCAAATCAAGCCTCGAGGTCGAGGCAAGGAGGCATGGCATGGGCCGTCGAAATGTCATGTCCCGTCCTATTCCTAATTCCCCCTATTTTTAAGTATCAGATAACAGAGACAAGAGACTCTCTCACGAGTCATGAGTTTGACCATTTGACCACCCCTCATTATTAATTATTAATTATTTTGGGCTCCTTTCCTAATTTCCTCTTTATTTATTATCGCTAACAACATCTCTGATGACTTATTAAAAACATATAATAATCTTCAGCTCCATTAATTCCAGCAGTAATTGCAGAATTAACCCTTCTACCACTACACCTATCCATCCAACCAAAGCAGAAAAGTAGAAACACTTTTTTTTGAGCAGGAGGAATAGAAGAAGGGAAAAGACTCTTCACTCTCCAGCTTTTGAGTTTTGAGCATCCCACTACAAACAAAAGAGTCCTAAAGTCACCTATCCCCCCTCCCACCTCCCAAACCTATCAAATCCAACGGCTCCAGCGCCTTCACTTATCACTCACTCACCCTTCGATTCGATTCTTTCCGGAAAAAGCCAAACTTCGCTTCAACTTCCCAAACGATTATCGAGGCCCATGAACCCATTATTTTATTCCACTTTTTTTACCGACGTGACAAACGAAACGATTCGGTTCCAAAACGAGCACGCTCTCGTTCCCTATTTACATGAACGTCCTAACGTGTTCGTGGTTCATTGGAGAGAAAACCGACACGTAGGGGTACCAGATGGTAGTGCGCTCGTTGGATCACCACTCTTTATATAACTAATACTCCATCTTCATCTTTTATTCTCTGTTCTCATCGGTATCAACATAAAAAAAACAAACAAGGAATCGTGGAAGGGAGCGAGAGGGAGAGGGGGAGCGGAAGAATGGGGAGGGAGAGAAGGGGGGAGTGAGTGGGGAAGTTTCACTCTCTGGTCTCTACCCGGTTTTTTCTTGCTTTCGTTAGTGTTCTTGGGGTTAGGGTTTCGCATCTGGTCTGTTTCTACTTTCTAGAGTATTAGGGTTTTGGGTTTTTGTTCAAGTTTCCGCCCATACGTCAATAGATTGATCGATCCATGGCTCAGGGGAGTGCGAGAACGACTGGAGTTGTGAAATGGTTCAGCGGGACCAAGGGCTTTGGATTCATTACCCCGGACGATGGTGGCGAAGATCTCTTCGTCCACCAGTCATCTATTAAGTCTGAGGGTTATAGGAGCCTTGCTGAGGGAGAAAAGGTTGAATTCGTGATTGATACCGCCGAAGATGGGAGGACAAAAGCTGTGGATGTGACTGGCCCCGATGGATCTTACGTTCAAGGAAGCAGGAGAGATGGTTACGGTGGTGGTGGTAGAGGTGGACGCGGTGGTGGGTACGGCTTTGGAAGTGGTTACGGCGGTGGTTATGGTGGTGGAGGGTATGGTTTTAACGGTGGTGGTGGCAGAGGCGGAAGAGGTGGTAGTGGAAGGAATGGTGGTGGTGGTGGTGGTGCAGCTTGTTACAACTGTGGTGAGACTGGGCACTTTTCGAGGGAGTGTTATCAGGCAAGTGGAGGCGGCAATGGTGGAAGAAGGTATGGTGGAGGCGGATTTGGTGGTGGGAACTGCTACAATTGTGGGGAGGAAGGCCATTTCGCCAGAGATTGCCCTAGTGGTTCGAGAAACTGACTGAACGAAGTAGTGAATATGCTCTGCCTTTTTTGTGGCTTTTCGTTCCTTATCTTCTGCATATTGGTGGTGCTTTTTTAGTTTTTAGTTTTTTTTTGGGTCTTTCAAAGGCTTCTCTCAGGTTTCGTCTAAAGCGATGATACTACAGTAATTTGATGGGGTTTCCTGGTATCTTTTCACTCTTTTTTTTCTTGTACTTTGAAACCTTTTGATGAGAGCTGATGACTAGGGTTGGTATTGTTGGGCTCTCTCCATCCATTGGTGGCATATATATCATGTAGCGTTTGCTTGGATTAATGGAATAGGTTTATTTTCTTGGTATTAATTTGATGATCGTTTGTTTTCTTCTTAATATGTTTTATTTGTTCATTTCATCACCAACATTGGCTGGATTAACAGGTTCTGTGTTCTTTTGATTTTTTTTTTCATTGAATAATATTATGTGTTTTGGTTTTTTCTCTTAATAGCAATCGACAATGCAGGAGGTGGAAGAAACATGAGATGGAGGCTCTTTTTATTCATTTTTTGTTGGGAGTTTTACAACATGATCCTGTTAGCCTTTTATTTTCTTATAATCTGTAATATAAAACGTTCTGCAATAGTAGGAAAAGCTGAAAGTAAAAGGGGGAATCATGAAGTTTTCGTTTCCAACTACCTTGGTCATGAAAAGGACTTGAATGCTTTATTTTTCTTTTTCTGAGTGACCGGTTGAGGGGGTGTGGAGTTGGAAACAATGGTGTCTGCCCGCCTGGCCTGGATGTACAGTAGAGAGAGGTGGTTTAACGCTATTGTCTACTTATCTTTCCTCTGGATAAAAGACGAAGTAGTACTGTCTGCCTGCCTGGCTGCATCTTTGCGCTAAACTCCAAATATATTCTGATTTGTGATACACTGATACTCTTGTCTGTTACTTCTGAATTCTAACTGCAAGGTGGAATAACAGCATTTCTTTGTGTTTTGATTTTAAAAGACCCATAAGCTGATGACGAAGGTTTGCTTAGTAATTCATAATATGAGCTTGATTTTCTCGGATTCTTTGTTTGTGTGGCTCTTATGCTTGTGAAAATGGTGGCCTTGGAAAACAAATGTCTGCTAGGTGCAGACTGTGGAAGCTCTCATGGCTCGGACTCTTGTCTCCTTTATTTACTGGAGAAAGGCTCTATTCTTTTATTCAGTAGTTGGGATTTGGGAAGAGAGTTTTCTTCCTTCCCAACCAGCAAGTTATGACTTGTGGAAATGTCACTCCAGTTCTGCCGCCCTAGTGATTTTCTTACTGCCTTTCAGTCATCAAGTTGCAGTCTCTTTCCGCTGTGCAAATCATGATTATAGGCGAACGGATGTAAATCCAAGTTGCATATAAAAATTATTATCTGGTTCTGGTTTGCAAACAGAGGCTTCTATCAAATTTCTACTAAACTGAGTGAGTGGTACGGATGCGTGCATTGTCATTGTGTTTTGGGTTGATGAATATAAATTTGAGAAAATATGTTGTTACATATGAATGTATTTCAATGATAAATCAAATTTGATTTTAGAGTAAATAGCAATTTGTAATAATCACATAAATTTGTATTGATAAACCCAACATTACAGTCAACATAACACCCGCTGAGTTATCATGTTGGAAATTGTAATAGTCAGATAGAGATCTCGCCCAAGGACTTGCCATCTAAGAGATGATTCAAACCAAAGACTACATTATGTAATGTTCAGCAATGGCAATTCCATGGTAGCTGGGGAAAGGCAACGGGAGTTAAAGCCAGCCAGCCAGCCTGGGTTTAACTATTATAGCAGTATTGGGCCTAAATTTTGTGGGCCAATCTATCAAGGTCCAGCTAACTAGAGGGGAGAAAGTAATTACAGACTCCATTTCAAAATTATTTTCTATTTGATAGATCAGGAACGAAATAGACAGAAAATAAAACAATTAACACAAGCATAGAAGAAACAAATGAATCGAAATTTGCTTCCCTCAAGGCATGAAAATATGAGATGGCAAGCTCAGAACATCTACAGACATGATGAGATTCATTGGTGAAGTTGCATATGTTCCATGGAGCCACCATACGATTACGAAGTCAGTCACTGATAATATACTGAGAAAATTTGGCCATTATGAGGTGGGCTTCAAGAGCAGCCCATGCTTCAGCCAAATTTATCGAACACACTCTTAGTTTAAAGCAATACAAACTTCATTTACTCATTTTTTTTAAAGTTTTTTTAGTCTCCATTCTCCATTTCTTTTGCAACAGGGCATAGTGCAGTAAAAGACATGGTTGGGTTGGGCCTACTTCAACAACCATTCTTGAAGAAACAGTCTGACATGGATGAGATTCCACCATGTCGTTTTGCTAGTTGCATACACCTTATTTGGCTGCATGATGACATATTCTTTCTGCTGTTAATGGTGAACATCGGAGTATCATCATTTCATTCAAAAATGTTTCTAAAACAAACACAGGGATAATGTGTATGTGATAGCGTAGCTTACAAGTCTTCTCTTGGGTAAAGTAGTCACTATCATTCACCGTCCGATGCAGTGGCTGTGGTTCTTTAATTTTAACAACATTAATGGCGATTTATGCATCTCTTTTACTTCACTTGATCCAACGACATAAATAGCCAATTAAATTGTATTGTTGCAGAGCAATGCATGAATTCAATAGTTTTAAAATTAAAAAAACCTCCCCTCAAGAAAAGATTCTGACAATCATAAAAGCCTCCCCTCCCCTGATGCAATTACTTCCCTTTCATTATTGGTTCAATAAATTCATTAAGAAAAACATTAACGGAGTTTTGAAATTACAAAATTGCCTTTACTACATCTTTCAACATAATTCAAACTACTAGATTTTCCCTTTTAAATCAAATTCATTCAATCATCATAATGAATGTACAAAATGAAATTACCTCACTTTCCAATCTGAATTAAAAGTGTTTTTCCTTCTGGGGGTATATTAGTAAATCTCCAGAGTAGAGTAAAATGGGTGTTTCCAAAAAATTAATGCATTAAGACTATTTTTGGGCTGGTAGGATTTTTCAAAAGGATTTTATGATTGCCAAAATCTCGTGGGAGATTTCTATATTACCCTTCACAAAATTATAGCCTGTATGGCTGGCTGGCCGTATGCAACACAACCCAGTAGCCTATTTTTGTCTTTGTCTTTGCCCAGGCAATAAATCTAGAAATTTATGATGTTGGATTCAATTGGAACCTATTGAGTACTCTCCCTTGAGTATGTTGGGCTGTTTAATTAGGAATACATTGTTGGTGGGACCTGTCGTTACTCCTTACCCTGAAAGATGCAATGAATTCATTCTTCGATTTTGTGAAGAGGTCCAGAGAGAGAGGACGTTAGACAGACAGCTGGACTCTCAGTTTCTTCTTTCTTATTGGGTTGCCCGCATTCTATCATCCTCTCTCTATAGCCGTTTGACAAGTAGCCACTTGGACCAGGTGATTTTCATTAGTGGATCCTAGTCCTAGCTAATATTTGGAGTTTGGACTAGACCTTTCCTCTAAGCTGCTAAGCTGCTTAGATGCAATGGGTGATCCTGTCGGTCCTGGCCTAAGACTTTTATCTATCAAATACTAAATATTAAATATATATAATATGATAAAATTTATTTTATACATTGTAACATAAAATATTATATAATATGTATTATAGGTGTCATATAAGTTTTATATTATAAGATATGAATATAATATAAAATAACGTGATGGCCGGGCCAGAAGATACTTCTTTTCAAATTTTCCTCCGGCATTTCAGTGCTCATACCATTCCAACCTTGCAATGAGAATATTTTTCCATGAAATAAAGTATATAATTATAATAGGGAGATATTTTCAATAGAAGGTTGTAAAGGCTGCTCTAATGGGTTTTGCCCTGACGGAAGCTGAACTCTGAGCATCTGCATGAATCCGAATGTCTAAATACTCTTAAAATTTTGTTTATATTTTAAATTTTAAAATATTATTGTATAATTACAATATTAATACCATTACATATATTGAACTAATTTCAAATTTTATGTTATCTTGGTCATTAAGATGTTAGCTTAAGTGCTAAGGAGGCAACTACCTAGCAGCGTAGTCCTCATAGGCTCTATGAGCTTGATGATCTCTACTAGATTGAACTAAGCTTGGACGCATGATTCACAAAATCACTTTTAGGCTGTTTTGATGCAAATTGTTCATAGTCTGCTCTTTGCTCACAGATTTCACCAAATCACTGTCGGACTCCACTATTCCTATAAATTATTTGAATTATTATTGTTGAACTCCTCTGTGCTAGCAAGTTTAACAACAATACTCATACTTTGACGATTTCACCTCAACGTTCTTTACATCTTCCTTCCTTTGCGTAGGAGCTCTTAAGTCTAATGTTTTGAAAAATGACCGGGAATTGGACCCGTTTCGGCCATTAGTTTTTAGGTCGGTGATTCTTTTGTCTGATTTGAATGAATGATCCATTCTAATAAAAAAATTAAAATAAAAAGGCTAAAGACTGTTGAATGGATTGATGGTTCGACCACCCAAATTAATAAATTATTAATTGATTCAACTAAGGATTAAGTTTAGAATAAACCAGAACCGGTTACCTGGACTATGGCCAAATAGCGGTTTGAAAACCACGCTTAAGACTCTTATTTCCCAAAATATTCAACAACTTCATTACCGGAATCATTATTCTGAAACATCTTCTTTCGAGTCCGATTGCACCTTCAGGGAAATCTCATTACTGGCCTTCTTTGATTCCGTAGATTTCATCAAACCATTCTTCATCTCCTCTTCTCCTGCAAAATTCACTAGGTCATTGTTGGGCTACTCTTTTCCAATTTATGACATGCGATGACGCACCTCTTGATGCATTTGATCAAACTGAGGTATGTACATGCACAATTTAATTTGTAATTATATCTTCGTTAACCCCAATAAGGGCAAAAGTTCTGGAATCTAAAAGTTCACGATTTCATATTGGCGAAGCAAAAGTGAGGGGATAAATGTCACCTTATTGTGTTTGTGAAATTCTTCTGACCCGCTTTATAACCTGTTCCAAATCAAGTTGGGAAAAACTCAAAGACAAAATTTCATATGACTCAGTTTGGAAGGAGTGTAAATATAAATGTATAGAGTATAAAATCTTATATTTTGCATTATTTTGTATGCTTTTGCACTGTATATATTTGTATTTGTACTCTTTCCAAATTAAGCCTAATGGTTTGGAGTAGCAGTGTAGTGCTTGGGCAGTCATATTCAATATATGGACTCTACCTGAATAAGATATATTGTTTGGGAGTTCTCTTTTATGTAATCTTTGACTTAT